AATAATAATAATAATAATAATATCAACAATTAAACCAACAACAACTAGATCTCAAGTCGTGCTTTATGAGGTTCATCTTTATTTTTTATTTTTTATTAATTATAAGTTTTTATAATAATAATTAACTATAAATATGTCACGTCTCGAAACCTAAATACGGGGACGTGGTAGATACCGTGTACTTATGAGAGGGTCTCACAAATGCACAAGGTTCGAAACTTAATCGTATCACAATCTGATACCACAAAATCTGAAAATAAAATCTTTAATATTTTCTCTGATATCATAAAATCTCCAGATACAATCTAACTTACAAAATCATGATTTATATCTAAATCTATTCCAATTTACAAGTTGGCTAGCCTTCTACCTCATCACTCGCCGTGGTTTCTCCGTCCTCAGTTTCGCTTCCTAAAATGGTGGACAAGAAAAACTATGAGATAAACTCAGTAAGTAAAATATGGATAGCCCTTAATTAAACTTATAGCATTCCAATACGGGAACGAAATAAACATCTCCTCTATAGGTCATGGCCAGTGTTATAAACCTCCCACTGATAGGCACACGATTTACTAGTGTATAATCCCACTAGTAGGATAACAGAAATGAATCGGTTCTATCAGTAACATATCGACATGTGCTAGCGTTTATAAACCTCTCACTAGCGGGCACACGAATAACATGACCATATCGGAGACAAAACAGGCAAAGCTTAACAGAAAAATCATAATTCACCAATCACTTTCAAATAATCAGGACAATCAATTAAATTTCAAGTAAGCATGCTCAATTCAATAAAAAGAATAATAATCTTATTTCAAATCAATCATGCTCATTTTTGTATAAAACGGGTTTAGTCCCACCACAATTTAAAAAACAAGTCAAAACATGTTTTTAAAAACTATACGGGCATCACTATAAATTTACTTACCTCACTCACATAAAACCGAAAACTCGATCTCAGTACTAAACTGATAGAACGATCATAAACTTAATCAAAATATCCTAGAATTAATTACCGTACTACCACAAATTCAAACTAAAATCATCATTAGGACTACTCCTAATCACGATGCTATTTCTATTGGTCTCCATATGATCGGACATCTCCAAATTTATTCTTATATTACAAACTGAACATTTAAAGCCCCGTTAATTATTGGTTATCAGTGCATGAACAGTGACAGTGAACAGTATCCGTGAACAGTACTAATATTTCCGGAATTCAACTACAGCCAGCTAAAAGACTAGAAAAATGGATATTTCATCAGATTTTTCAGAGCAGAAACGGACAGAAAAGAAGCAGAAAACAGTAGCAAATTGCAGAATTTTCTGTGTGAACGGTAACTGGTACACGTGAACAGTAACTGCACTTCCAAAATTGGCCAAAACACTAGCTAATTCACGGGATTTTTCACACAAAACATCACAGCAGCCAATTCAAGTAATTTCCACATAATTTAAACAACAAAACACATTTAAAGGGCTGCTAAATTCATCCCCTATCCCAGCAGATTTTCGGACAGCACATGGGGCATCAATTAAATGGACAAATTCAGCAATTAAAGGATAATTTTAGGCTTAAAGGGCTGTCACATACCAGAAATTCCAGCTTCAGAACCGGACCTGGCAGGGGGAAGAGGCCGGCGGCAAGTGCAGGAGAAATTCAAGGGAAATCTACCGGAAATTGGAGAACCAAGAGAAATTAAGTTAAACCCAACTTAAATCAAAGCTAAAGGATGAAATCATGGCTGTTTCTTACCTAAAAATGCCCAGAATTCGCACCCACAAACCGGCAAGAGCAGCAACCGGACGGACAGAGCAAAGCAGATCCGGATTTCTGCAGAGAGGAGGGAGAATTTCTAAGCTCAAATCTTATTCTTGAACAAGAAAGAAAGGCCAAAACAGAGCTCTCTTACCGGTTTTCTCAAAGGGAGGTGCATCGGGCTTGGGGCTCTTGTTGCTCGGTGCAGAGGAGGAAAAAGAAGAGCAGGCGCGCGGGTGAGGAAGAAGAAAGAAGAAAAAAATGCCAGCCGATCCTTATCCAAAATCTTTTTCCTTTTTAAGTCCCTAAACTTAGAAAATTTC